CAGCATCTGTGTCTGTTATAGATGTTTAAAATAGTATAATATACCAGAAAAAAAACTATACAATTCAACATTTTCTTTTCAAGGTGAACATCTATGTCATAAATTTCATACATAATGAGCGTTTTTTACAATTAATATTACGATAGTTATTCTCTATGTCATACAATATTTCTTTATACTTTGAAATCAGAAGTTTGAAATTTGATGGTTATATTTATTTTGATATAAAAATTCAAACATGTTCACATTATCTTCTCTATGAAATGTGTACAAATCAAGTACTACAAAATCAATTGAATAGTAAAAATATTTATTCTCAATATCTGTACGTATCACACAAGAAGTTTGTAATTGTTCTATAATACATTTTGAATAGAAAGAAAAATAATGAGGTTTTGATATATGTATATTGTCATAGAACACTTATTCCTAACCAATCATATTTATTATATACTTCATTAATTATAATAAAATAAACGTTATGATTCAGGCAAAAATTTCACTATTATTTTGTCTTTCAATATAACAAAAAAAAGAGATAGATAGTAGAGAAAAATTATTTCTTGTAACAGATTTATGTCATTAAATAATCACTATCAAGTAAATTTATCTTATTAATTATTAAACGATTCAGCTGCTCTTTTTTATGTGTTAAATATTTAATATACTAATATGTAGTTATACATGTTTATAATTGATTCTGTCTGTCATCTTAGGAACATAAGAACTTTTATAGTAATTTGACTAAAAGCTTCCTTTCTATTTGTTAAGAAAGAAGTTTATTTAATAAAATAAATTTACAATCATAAAAGTCAGAAAAAAAAGATAATATTACCTGTAAGATGGAATGCCTTTTTTTAAATACATAATATAAATGAAGGAAATTATCAATGTCATAAAAGGAGAAAAAAACATCTTCAGCGCATATAGAACAAGGTAATACCGATTAAAAATATTATAAATTAACGATATATGTATATGACAGGTGTCAATAAATGACAATTTGGTTATCACTTATTCAATATATGTATATCTATCGTATTATAGTGTTAGTATGTTTTACTCATCACTGAAGCGTAAACATATATATATTTTACACTGGATTTATTTTTATAACACTTCATCATAATTTAGTGGAAATATTTTTTCCAGTAATCTAATGTTAGATTATTCAAAGCAATTTAGACATTTGTCGTGTGAAACAAATATTTTAAGAGAAAAAAGTTGAATGCTTTAAATGGTAGTCGCATACAATTTTAAATGTATCGTTTGATTACTTTTTCTTCGATGTTCTGTTTATATAGTTAGACGAATCAACAAACATTTCGATAGAAGAAAAAGAACAGAAAAAAGGACCTTTTTTTCTCGGTCACACTTTTTTACTTTTTTTCAGTATTTTTCTACCGATGCTTCGCTTAAAAACTGTCTCGTCGCTATTGGTTTACGGAGCTGGAACACTCGTTTTTTTAGTTTTTATTCTTCATGTTTTTACCCCAGCATATCAACCATCTGACAGTGAAAAAAAAGATTTAGCTCAACAAGATATTGGTGATTATTTTTTACGACAAAATGGCAAGAAAAATAAAGCAACAACTACAACATCATCATCTGGATTAACGACGATACCTCCACCACTTAATGTAGAATGTCCTAATAAAGAATTAACTGTTGAACAATATCGTATTCGTTCATTAGTACGTGGTGTTATTGTTCGTTTTCCATCGTTCAGATCAAGTTATTATTTTGTACAATTTCGTTGGTTTTATCGAAGTTGGATTGAAGCAGAAATGTTTACACTTGATCGTTGGCGTACTGACATAATAGTTATTATTGATGATCATTTTTCAAGTGAAACACGAAAATCATTAGAACATTTAAATTGTCATGTAGATAATAAACGAACAGCTCGTCGACAAACATCACGATGTATTATTGTTATTCATAAATCATTTGCCGAACGATCTGAAATTGAACGTCAAATATATGGTATTAAATATCAACAACTTAATCGAACAACTAAACTTCAAGAGAATGTTGATCGTATATTTGCTATACATGATTGTGTAAGTCAATTAAATAATAATAATCAAACAATGTATGATTTTATAATGGTAACAACTATGAATACATTTTTAACAACACAATTTGGAAAATATGTTCCAGTAAAATGTGCATTTCTTCTTGGTAGATCACCTGATTATTCAACATGGTTCGGTCAAACAGATCAAATTATTGAATTTACTCATACTTTATTACTAACTTTAAAAAGTCCATTTAGAACTCGAAAAAATGATACAACAGATTTTCCAGCAACAGTAGAACTTTTACAAGATAAATTTCTTTTTACAGAAAATCAAGTTGATATACCGTGTGATTCAAAGATTACGACATATCGAACATATGTTTATCTTATAAAATGTTATGCACATTCGACAAGTTTATTTTCTGAAAAAATGTTTCGTCAAAA